TTACCACCCTACAAACTTCTCTATCTCTTGAGAACTGAATTTGCATATGTTGTATTTATGGCTTACAGGCTGTCAAAACATATGGAAAGGATGAGGTCATGACACAGCTGTTGGACAATATGAACTTCTATGTCGTTCCTGTCCTCAACGTTGATGGCTATGTCTGGACATGGAGAGGACCAATGGTAGGCAAACAGTTTACCCCAGAGGGAAGAGTGTGCTGGTATTTGGGGGTCACACATATTTGCAGACAGAGAGGCAAATATACTTTACACATGCTTGCACACACACACACACACACACACATGCATACATGCACGCACATACACACACTCACCCAGATGCCTCCTAAGTCTCGGCACTGAGCACCACTTACTAATGATGGAGTCTTCAAGTATGATTGTGCTGAAAAAACATACTTCTTCCTTGTTTAGTTATCTCAAGATTAGTGAGATAGTCTATCAGCATCTATCAAACCTGATGCTGAACACTCTTCAGTATTTGTCCATGGGCCCACAGACTAGGACTGGGTGTTTGCATGTGTGTGCATCACCTGGAAACTGAAGGCAAAACTGGATGCTCTGGTCATTGACTGTGTCACAGACACACCTCATGCCCACATCCTCCAGTGGTATGGATGCATTCCTGTCTCCCCGTTTCTTTCTTTTCTTTTACTATATCCTTTTCATCCAGCTCAAGCCTGTGCTACCTTTGGTAATCTATCATGCTACAACAATTATGATAAGGAAGGACAAAAAGGGATTGCCAAGAAGACTTTTGCAGTGGATAGATAACTGCAACATGTTCTTTTAAGCCATTGCTTCACTGAACTTATTAAGAGCCTTTAAAAAGGCTGCCAATGGATAGAATCCACAAGTTATAGATTTAGTTATTCTTCTAACGGGATTACATGCATTGATTTTTTTCCCATTCAAAAATGGCTAAATGTAATATCCTTCCTTCACCCTTTCAACTCTGAAAAAAGTACGTTTCCAAGAAAGCTCATTCCACAATAAACCAGTTTTTCCATAAAGTTCTATAGCACACATTATTTCTGTCCAAGTATTAGCAAAATTTTGAAATGTAGGAAGCTCTGAACATGGGTACATCTAGCTGACAGTTGTCAACACTGAATGGTAGCCATTTTCCAGTGTTTAAGGTGATATTCTTTCCTAGCCCTACCTGTACACTATGCTCATAACAGGTGAAGGTGACATACCCTTATGGACAGAAGTAAGCCACCCTTGAAGCATAATCCTTCTTTTCTGTTATATACCTCATTTGTATATAGTTTGCAAATGCATTTATGGGTCTTTGGTCTTTATAATTTGTAACAATCAACATGCAACAAGAACATGTCATTGGCAAGGAATAATAAACCTCAGCCATTTTGCTCCACAGACACGCATGTGGAGAAAGAATCGGGCCATTAATGGTGACAGTGGTTGCACTGGTGTTGACTTGAACAGGAATTTCAATGCTTCTTGGGGCAGTAAGTATGATGTGACTTGTAGCAACAGAAATCAAGATACAACCTAAGAAGTGTAGGCTTGACCTTGGATGATGGGATTAATTGGACGTCCTGATATGGCCTTTTTCCACACAAAAAAGAGATATAATCACTTAGTGATTTAAGTATACCTGAAGGACCACCTCCTTCCATACGAAACTACCCAGAAGGCCCTCCTGAAAGAGTCATCCCTCAGTGAGGTGAGAGGGATGGCCTGTAGGCGGAGGGCCTCTTCAGCAGCTGCCCCCCAATCTTTGGAATGTCCTCTCAAACAACATCTGGCTGGCGCCGATGTTACTGACATTTTGGCACCAGGTTAAAAACTTCCTGTTCCAGAAGTTTTTTAACTGAAATTATTAATTGAAGGATTTAATTTTTATTAATAAGTCATGGATCTGGATTGTTTTTGTAGATTGTTTTTATCTTTGCTTTTGTAGAGTGAATGTGGCCATATTGGTTTTTAGTGTCTGAACTGTTTTAATTGATGTTGGAAGCTGCCCAGACTCTTGCAGAGTGCGGGCAGCATACAAGTCCAATCAATCCATCAATCCATCCATCCATCCATCCATCCATCCATCCATCCATCCATCCATCCATCCATCCATCCATCCATCCATCCATCCATCCATCAATCAATCAATCTGGTTGTGGAGCCAGAGGCTGGGAGTTTGATTCCCCACTGTGCCTACTTGTCAGAAGCTGGACCTGATAATTCATAGGGTCTCTTCCAGCTTTGCAGTTCTACGATAAGATTATTACAATCCCCACATGACTGGCCACACTACCTTGCAGCATTTGGTTGCAGAGTCTATTTGCATACATTCCCATGACTGATTATGAAGACAGCTGGAATGCCTGGCACTAAAAAGACATAAAAGTTGGAGACAGACCTAATTATCTGGGGAGAACATTCCCAACAGAAGGTGCGACAATTCCAATATACCCCCAGCTGCAATGATTCAGTTCCAATTAGTTTCAGATAGGTCTGAAGGAGAGTTTCTAAATAAGTCCTAAATTTCAGCTGTCATAAATCATTTAGTGGGATGTCTCAATCATTCTTAATGAGGACTAGAGATATCGGTAAAGTGAATAAAAATTCTGGTCGATGTTGGGTATTGCATTTATGACTCTAAGTAGTTTTGCGTTTCATGCATGAAAACATTCTTAACCAACACATAGTGGAAATAAATAGCCTGTTTACATGAAAGGCAAATAGAGAGAGAGCATCTTGAGTCCCAGAGTTGGGAAGAAAGGCAACCAGCATTGAAAAATCACATCTGAAAACATTTCCTTCCAGACAATGAAGTGATGCATGACCCTTGTGTGGAAATATATTGTGGTCCCTCTGCTGAATCTGAGCCAGAAACAAAGGCAGTCACTTCCTTCATTCGTGATCACCTTTTTGCCATCAAAGGATACATAAGTGTTCATTCATACTCACAGATGCTGATGTTTCCTTATGGCTATACATTCAAAGAAGCACCCAATCATGATAAACTGGTATGTACTATAACCAATCTGTACTCACAGGACTGCAATAAGAAATATTGGGTTGGATACAATTATCCAGTTCTCTTAGCAGAAGAGTCTGTGATCCTTTTGAGGTTTTACCCTGGACACCCAAAATTCAGTGACAAGGTGATTGGTGCACCTACTGCCTAGGCACTGCTAACTAAAAATTGGCCTTATCTCTCTGCTTACAATTCTTTGGCTCAAAATTCACTGCTCGATACCTTGTGCTAAGGATATAATGAGTACTTACTGACAAAAAAGCATATCTTAATATATTTACTTGACAAAAAAGCATGTCTTAATACACTGAAGCAGTCCGTTTTTAAAAATGAACAAAGTTTTGTTCCTATATGATAGCAAAAAACCCCACCTTTTTTCATTAGCAGTTGCATGGAGCTCTTCCATGAAAAACTGGTGTTTTGCATAAGAAGGCTGCTATTTTGCAGAAAATGCAGGGTTTCCTGTCCTAAAGAACAGATTTTAGTGTTAAAAAATGATTTGTCAGGGTTTTTTTTTTCAGAATTGTTCCAAAAATGAGGAAAATGCACAGGAATTCTCATAGTCTCCCCTAGTGAGGAGAAAACAATTGAAATTGTTCATTCTTGTCTGAAAAAATTAAATAAGGGAAGATTTATAGCCCTACTGTGTGCACTTGGGCGTGGGCTCACACAAAGATGTATCCAGTACTTCCAAGGAGAAGCATACATCCCAATGAAAAGAATAGAGCCAATCTCTATCTGTGAAATGTCTACACATACAACATGATTTAGCTGGCACCTGTATGATAACAGTGCCAGTATCAGGCAATTTTCTTTAGTAACAGAGAGCCCTGCTGAGAGAGAACTCTCCTTTTTTGGATGATGCCTGTACCTCTCTCATGGAAGAGTTAACAGAGAGGAGGGCCATCAGATGATCACAGAGAACTGCATAGGGACAGATATAATGAAGGTCTGTACCATAAAATAAATAAGATAAATAAGGGAGAAAGACCTTAAAGTATTGGCTTTTAAAGATAAGAACTTAATTACATCTCAGATTGAGAAACATTAAACTTCATGTAGAATTTTTTCCATAGAAATGTGAATGCTATGGAGCCCTTTCAGAAAGGAGAGCACTAATCTATATACAGTAATTCTTTCACTGTCATACAGAATCAAATGGCCAAGGAAGCAGTGGAAGCATTATCCAGTCTCTACAAGACAAAATATACGTATGGACCTACTGCCTCTACAATTTGTAAGTATTAATGGAAGCAAAATATCTTTGGACTTTCCTCAAAATTACTTTAATGCTTTTCACAAATCAGCATAGGCATCCTTCAGTCTCGAGAGACTATGGTAACGTGCTCTGTATGGAGGACTTGGAACAGTGTCTAGTGTTTTGATGCTGTACATGAAGCTGGAGTGTCGTCTCCAGGGCACATAGCCTGGGTAGAATAATATGGAGGATAGGCTGTTACCCAACCAGCAATTCCCCCCTCTCCACGTCACTGAAATATTCCAGTGGAAAGGCAAGAGCCAATGCAACTGGTTTCAGCAGCATCGCAAGAGTTGACAGAATGGCACAAACTGCCTCTGGGACTCCGGATCTGGATTTTGCCTTGAGATTAACTCCTGAAGCCTTTTCCATTGGTGGATATCACCACAAGGCAGTGGAGGTTTGAAGTCGAAGTTTTCCTTCTCCTAGATGGGCTGCCTTCCAAGGCACAAATGGAAGCCTGCAAATCATTCAGGAAATCTGACGCTGATGTTTACTGTAACTTTTATTTTATAACTTTGTTATAAATAATACCTGTGAGGAGCTCTAAAGGGGTCCTATGGAGCTGCCAAAGCAAGCTCAGTCCAGCTTCCACTGGGCTACCCTTAAAATATTGAAAGATAACTATCAGTTCTGAATCTGTTCTTCTCCCACTGAACATGCCCAGCTCCCGTAGCTATTCCTTATAAGGGTTGGTTTCATTATGTTGATAATTCTCCCCTAGATGCATTCCAGCTTCTTGATATTCCCTTTAAACTTGGATGCCCTGAACTGAACACAACATTCAGATGAAGCTTGACCAAAGCAAAAGCACTAGACACCATACCTCTGTTGATGCAGCTTTGAATTGTATTAACTTTTCTTTTTCAATTGCATCACACTGTTGATTCAAATTTAGCTTGTGTTCTGCTCAGGCAACTTGATCTTTTTCTCCCCTTTATGCCAGAGATGTCTTTAAATATGCCTTTGATATTTCTATTTTTCAGACCCTTGTTTTGGTTCCTCTTCAGACTGGGCTTATGATGAGGGAATAAAATATTCATTTGCCTTTGAGCTCCGCGACCTTGGAAGGTATGGGTTCCTCCTCCCAGCATCAAAGATAAAATCAACCTGTAAGGAAACTATGCTGGCAGTCAAATACATTGCAAATCATATCTTCACCTTTGTTTCATAAAGCTATGTTCAGTTTTCTCCCTTCCTAGCCTATCGTTTCCCCTTTTTCTTTGCATTGGTACTGTATAGATTTTTCTCATCTTTTTTAAAAACTATGTTAACAACAGTAACTTTATCCTTTTCAGTAGAGTTTGGATTCTGATATTTTACTGCTTCGAAACCAAAACAAGCTTATTCTCTTCCCCTCCCCCACCACATAGCATTGATTACTATTTTTAAAATCAAAATTACACAGTCTGAAGACTTTAAGGATGGCAGCCCTTTTAGCCTACTTTTTATAAAGCCACAATTCAGGCATCTGCTTAGTAGCTCTTAGATGTAAGTGGATTCACATTACATTATCCTTTTAGTAATGAAAATGTCTGTTGACAATCCAAAGGTGTCAGGATGTACTTCATATCTCAAGTGCCCATTTATTCTGAATTGTAAATTCTATTTCAGAGATATTACCTGGTGCCCACTGGTGGAGTGGAAGGTATAGCACAGGTAGGCAGAGCCAGAACAAAAGTAGATAGGAATATATGTGTATGCATTATGAATCACATGCACACAGGCAGGAAAGCAAACATTCAACCTTCATGGTTGTTGTGGGTTTTTCGGGCTCTTAGGCCGTGTTCTGAAGGTTGTTCTTCCTAACGTTTCGCCAGTCTCTGTGGCCAGCATCTTCAGATCCCGGCCGTGAAAGCCTTCGCGAATACATTCAACCTTCACACAGGAAGTGGGAAGGCATTGACCTTTCGCCTCCAGTAAGGAAGCAGGCAGGAGTGTAACAGCCAGGAATAATCATACTCCGAGGTGGACAGTGTCCCATTTGCCCCAGTGAGCGAGCCTCCATTGATTTTCAGATATTACAAATGTACATACTAGATGTTACAGAAGTACATACTAGAATTGAAAAGGCCTTCCTCCCAAATAAGGCCAAATAAAGCCGCCTAGAGTAGTCTTAACTGATTAGATAGGCGGGATATAAATAAAATAAATAAATAAATAAAATAAGGAGGGCTTTAATAAATAAATAAATAAATAAATAAATAAATAAATAAATAAATAAATAAATAAATAAATAAATAAATAAATAAATAAAATTATATCTCCTCTATAAAATTTGAAGTCAAGTGTGAGCGATACCTTCGTTAGACCACTAAAACCCCACAAACAGAAGCTAGCTTTTGACTCTATAAGAATCTTCAGCACGCTGGGCATGACAGAGCTGGGGATGAGGCAGAAGAAACAGAAAAGTCTCAAAATCCATGACCAGACGTGTAAGCCTTGTTGCCTTGTTTAAAGCAAGTTTGAAGATGGGATCTGCAGAATCAGCTCAAAGGTGGCAGATTTTAAGGAGTAAAATGTCCACACCATCAGAGGCGAAATCTAAAACCTACATTCTGTATGTATACATGGAGCTTACTATATTCTTAATGTGATGCCACTCATCCACTTTCATGACATTTGCAAGAGACCAGATGCATAAGGCTACTTCAACATATGCTGAACTGCAACATGGATTAATCTAATCCATTTTCCCAGATGCAGTTCAGTAAAAGGCACTGTGCAAATTTGATCCAAGATGACATAGAAATGGAAGGGGGGAAAGGCTTTTTACTATACTAAACAAACTGATGGTTTTATTTTAATACACTTAAATTAGTAAAGCGAAAATAAGTTTCAGTAAAAAAAACATGTATTCTCCTTATTCCTAGTGGCGATTGTGCCTTTTCCCTTATCTTTTAGTGAGGGTCTTAAATAATTCTGTGATTTTATATTGATTACTAAGCATATTTCTCTTAATAAAATTTGTGCATCCAACTTCTTCTGAAGAAGTCTGAACAGAATCATTCCAGATCTAACTGCCCTGCATTGCTCTCATCTTAGTCATTGTTGATACAAATCAGTGTCTGATGGCGATTCAAAAAATTGTCTGACTGGTATTGTATGGATTAGGTCAAAATTACGGTTGAAATCAGGCAATCTACTTATGAAGAACACGTCTATCTCATGCTACATCCATTCAATGACAACACACCGTGTCTGATGAAACAGAATAGATAAAGGATGGGTTTTATTACTGCTGCATTCTCATTCAATAACAACCTTGTGCTGGCAGAGCAAAACAAGATTCTACAATTCTAAAAATGGGGGCGGCTCAAACAAAAATTTATAATTTTTAAGCAGGAACATGTCAAAAACAACCTGACAATAGCTTTGTGTCTGGCTGAGAAGTGGTTAACTGATTTTTAAAAAAGGAGTCAGCTTCTGGGGTTTCCCCGTGCTTGGTGTCTCTTTGTAAATGGTAGCAAGCACAAGAGGGTATCCTGTAGACCATCCTGACTGTTGCCAGTGGTGTTGTCACTTTTCAGATTACTCTTTGCTGTGTAAAACTTGAATCCTGTTTTCCTGCTGGCAACAGAGACACAATATTGTGCAGCAATATCAGTCCATTTCTTGGTTTTTTGAATTGACAATACAGAAGCACAATATCACACATTCATAAACCAGAAGTGTTTTGAACAACTGCATTCAGATCTTACCTTAGCTACATCTTGCTTTACGGCTTTAGCCAAGTCCTTGTTTTGTCAATCTCCACTCCATTCCCAGTTTGTAATACAGGTACAATAAGATAATAACCTATTATTATAAACCTGTATAGGATTATCATAAAGACTGCTGAAAAAGCATAGGTAGAATATATTAGGTGCTTGCAGACAGACTTGGAACAAGATGTTTCACTACCTAAGGCAAAGACAAAGACTACACCCACACACCTGCATTCCATATGCAGGAACCAGCTGGATCCTACTTCAGCACTGCTGAAGGCATAATGTCCTCCCACGTCAATGAGATGACAAGCTCCTTTTGGGACCCAGGACAGATTGTGGGCTCTGCCATTCAGTGGAGGGGAAAAGAAGAATTCATAAATGCAAGAGGGTGGCTGCTTCCTATCATGTTCTGGTTGAGGCAATTGTTTCAATTTGTCTAATGGCAGGACTGGCTTGATGAGTAGCAGCTATTGAGAGCAAGTGTTGGCAGAGACAGGTTTTTTCTCTTACAGCAGAGGTGCACACCCACAGGTAGCCTGCCCCTCCAGATCCCTCCCTCCCACACATCTGAATGACATGAAATAACAGTATGTCCATAGCCTCCCAGAGGACAACCACCAAACACACAGGGAACCTCAATAAAGAGAGGGAAGGAGGCTTGTGTGGCTTTGGCTGAACAAGGACGATGGATTTATATTGGTGGCCTTATAAACAGCCTGCTAAAGTCACACAGGGCTTGCTTGTTTTTCAAGAATACCTGTGAAGTCCCATGGGGCCTGCAGCTGGGGTTGCCAGATACACGGGTACTAAAAGGAGGACATAGAAAGACAAAAAGGAGGACAAAGGAGGACATATTGAATGTTTCATTTGAATAGTTCCAGATTAAACCCACAATCAATACAATTTTATTACAATAGCTGCCAATAAATGTCTCTTAGTGAACCGACCAAGAAACAGTCATGTTAAACATTAAAAATAAATTCAATGGAGGCTTTTTTTCAAAATACCGGGGTGGGCGGGCAGGTGGGGGCAGGGAAAGCCAGAGGGAAGGGGGTCCTTCCACCTCTCCCCCTCCCATCCAAAATTATAACATAAAATATACAAAAGCCTGACATTTTAAAGGTTTTTATCTTTGCCTGCCTGACGGAGGACATTAGGCTAAAAAGGAGGACATGTCCTCCTTTTGCCTGACATCTGGCAACCCTACCTGCAGGTCTCACACAGCTTTGCACAAGACTTCCTCAGTGATCTCCAGAAGCTCCCAGCCAATGCAAGGTCTCACAGGCAAGATATAAGTAATTTGTCCACAAACTCAGCGTTAATTCAGGCACATGTTTTAATTTGTAGCACTACTGTAGCCATTAAAAAAAATTCTATGAACTTCAAAATAAATAAATACATCTGGAAACATTCAAAATGTCTCTTAAGCCTCTTTAATGACCTTTTGCAGATGCAGTGCAATTAGTGCAATGAATGACAGCCAGGAAGAAAGCTGGATGAATGTATGTCACTGCTTACCAGGCAATATTTCAGTGGTTTAAATATCTGGCTGCAGAGCCATTGCTTGAGAGTTTGATTCCCCACTGTGCCTCTTATAAGAACAGCCAGCCTGGGTGGCCTTTGGCAAACTGCACTGTCCCATGTCACCTCCAGAAGAAGGGAATGGTAAACTGCTTCTGTGTATTGTCTACCTGAAAAGGGGCTGCTATAACTCAGAATTGTCTTGACAGCACCTGATAGTTATTGTGCCAAACGACATGTATGAGGTACTGCCTGCTAAGATTGTCATTTTGTAAGTTCATAAATGATGAGAATTTCAATGTTCCTCTTCTTCATTGTTCGAATAAGATGCAGGAGTTAGAGAATTTTTTTTTTGGAGGCTGAGACAAATCAGAAGTTTATCATTTAGTTACATGCTTGTAACCCCTTAGTTAATGGGACCCTTTAGTCATTGGTCAGCTATATTCAGGAAACAGCCAGAACTGTTATAAGATGAGCAATGGAAGCACATAGAGAATGTCAGTAAAGTATTCTGTGGTTGCTATGACACCTGCGGGTGCATGTAGCAGTTCAAAGGAAAAATGGCTCTTTGACATTCTTCCTGTACAGATATGAACCAATCAGAAACATTAATAATATGGTAGAAGTGGTTTCCTAATGGGATTTCTCGTATCTCAGACTGAGATGAAGATGATTCTGAATATAGGATGAGCGTTCTAAGACAGCATGTTTTTTCAAATTCTTCTCTTGCCTGCATGAGAGATTTTCAACTGCACTTTCCATGAAGATACCTAAAGAGGAGAAATAGGATGCAAGAAAATTAGAGGGCATAGTCTATAGCTATCAAAATGGGTTCATCTTTCCAAGATGCTTAACCTAGAAGGTCAAACCCTAGCTTGAAGACTGAAGAAAGCTAACAGAAATTTGAAAGACAAAAGGTCAAGAGAGATACATATACAAGGAATTCTGACACTATCAACATCAGCCTCATTCTCACAGAATGAATTCAGACATTATCTTCAGCTTATAGGACAACTGTGGTAAGTTTCAGGAATCTTATTGGCTTTAGGTGGAAGTTGGTTATCTGGAAAATAGCACTGCAATGCTCAGTTTATCAGTTAGTTTAATTTGTTGACTACTTTTGATGAATCTCAGGAAGCAGAACATCACAATCAGTAGCTTTCTAATATCTGCCTCTCTCCTATGTAAGGTACCTCAAGGGGATGGCAGCAAAAATCCCAGTACTTTAGAATAAGGTCAGATTATTTTGGCCCATTTCTATCTGTTTTTAGGACCAGTTTAGATACAGAAATTGCACTGATGGCTCTGATAGTATGCTGGTAGTTCAGAGGGGACACAACACAGCTAATTGCCCTTCAATTCTCAAGGCTTTCAACCTTACTGAACACATTATTCTTCTAGAAATCCTCTCTGGGTTGGGAGCTGAAGCACAGTGTTGTGCAGTTCTGTTCATACTAGTTCCAGAAGGCAATGCTATGGAATTACTGCTTGGTTCCATAACATTTATTCTAAACACAGGATTCTGTCTTGTCCCCTTTTCTTTTTAACATGTGTATAAAAACACTGGCAAGGTTCTAAAGAGAAATGTCATCACATTTCTGATGACACCCAGCTCCCTCTCATTTTAATCAGACTCAGGTAAACCAGCAGATGTCTAAATTCAGTAATGGGCTAGATGAATTCCACTAAAATAAAACTCAATAATGCCATGCCTCGCCTTGCCTTGAGAGTGAGGTGCTGAGGTCAAAAGTATGGTACTTGAAGAATGGCCTCAGAGCACTACAAAACTTTATAATACTCCTTGGTAGTTTGAGTCTTTGTTGGTCCATCACACCTACCTTTTATCCCTGAAAGAGTTATTTCTAGTGTGAACCAGATAACTTCCATTATACTGGCCAGAGTTTCTCGGAGTTGCAGTCCAAGAACATCTGGAATAATCAAGGTTGGGATCCACTCAATAACATTATAGAAATGCAGGAGCTGATAGCTTTAAGAGGCACAAAGATTTCATATCTTAAGATATCCAAATTCTTAACAGTAGAAACCTGCTTTATCAAAGTAGAATACATTTCTTATCTTTTAATATATTCAGACATATTAGGGAAATATTTAACAATGTTCTCACCCTGCCAAGCCACCCATGTGTCAAATTGCATTTATGGAGGAAAACCCATATTGTTTTCATCTGTTCTGACATACTGCTACATGCCTACTGCTCTTTGATGTCTGCTCAGTCTCTGTACTGGTGGGATCCAGTATGTGTGGCCTGCCATGTGTCTCTTGCTTCCCTACATTTATATTTCTCTCAGTTGTTTACATTTCCCTTCAACTGTAAAAACCTTCGGCTTGCTGAGGTAGCAACCTAGTAATCAATGCAACATGGCTCTTGAAATTTCTGAGAGGCTATATTGCTTTGCCAAGCTAGCAACCTGCTGTGACAGCAAGGTGTTTTATTTATGTTTTGTCTTATTCCTGAAACACCTTCTGTTAGCAGCAGACCATTTCTATAGTAAGTCACTTGGATATGGTTTTGCTAGGTAAGCAAGATGCCAGGAGACCAAATTGCTGATACAGTAACTCAATGAGATATCAATTTCCTACACAGTCGTGCCTCGCTTAACGAGCGCACCGTTTAACGACGAATCCGCATACGATCTAATTTTTTGGATCGCTAATGTGATCGCATCGCGATGTTTTAATGGGTAAAACATCGCATTGCGATGATCGGTAAGCGTTTCGCTTACCGATCTTCGCATTGCGATGTTTTTTTAAACAGCTGATCGGCGGTTCCAAAATGGCCACCGGGTGCCCAAAATGGCTGCTGCAAGTGTTTTCACGCCCTGCCCTCGCTTACCAAGGGCGCGAAAATGGCGGTGCTATGGAGGAACTTCACTGAACTGTGAGTTTGGGCCCCACAGGAACACATTAAACCAAGTTTAATGCGTTCCTATGTGTTTTTTTCGATCCGTTTAGCGATGTTTTTGCATAGCGACGATTAATCCAGAACGGATTAACGTCGCTATGCGGAGCACCACTGTACTCACATTTCTGTTCCCTAGGAGTTTCCTTTTTTTCCCCTTTCCCATTGTTTTGCTTTCTTATAATTTGTTTACACACACTCAAGTGTTAGCTTACTAGAAAAGAAACTCCTTTGAGAGGCAATGCTATTTTACAATGACCTTGCTTTCCCATGATGTCTTGGATGGAGAAATGGTTGTTTGCCCTGCAGTGACTTTTTGCACACAGCTGTTCAACCCTCCTTTTCTTAAGCACAACATACATTTTCAGGGTCGCATTTTATGCTCCCCTTAATTATTTTAGAACTCTACACACACACACACACAATTTCAAACCTTGACAAGGAGGTGGCTAAGTGACTTAATGCATATGGTGCTGACACTTAAGGAGTCAACTATGTTGGGTCTTTGCTAACTTCTGAAGCTTCTGATTCCCAATGCAGTTTCCCTTGGCAGAGAGAACATGTAATAGAAAATAAAAAGGCTTGTGACCTGGATGCATCAATCTTGTAGGGCAAGTGAGGTGCCTCTGAAGCTTGAGCAACTATCTTCACCCACCCCAACTAGCACCCAATTCACTAGTCCCACATGGCAGATCTTTTGGGTCTGGTGCTCCTGTCCCTTCCTCTCATTCCCAGTTTTTTTGGTGTGCTGATGTAGGGCCCATTATGCCATTTGGAGTAAGGGACGGAAGCACAAGCATCAACTCATGATATTTCTTTTTTTCACAAGCTCTGGCAGCAGTAGCTCAAAGCACCCTTGCCTGCCCCACATCTGTGATAATCACATGGGGCCACCTTTTAGTCTCAGATTTTGGTCCTGAATGGGATGCAGCTCACCTGGCAATCTTAATTCTCATTGAATGCTTGAATCTGGCCCTCAAAAGAAGATGGTCACAGGTGATAAACTTGTCAGGAAGACTGAAGCCATTGTGCAGAAAGGGATAGGAAACTTTTGCATGCTCGCCTTGCTTGATTTTTGCACATTACCTCATAGGCCATGTGCAGTGTCTATTCAAGGTCAAACTCCTAGTAAATTGTAAAAGATATATTGCGCAGTAACCAAAAACTGCCTATGGAAAATATCTGTTAGAACATACATTGGTTAGTGGCTGATAACAGCAACAGCTGAAACAGCCTACAAGATAGGGAAAGTTTTAACTCTGTATGCATGATAACAGAAATGAGACAACAGATAAATCTGACTTTAAAGTGTTCATTACATTTTTAAAAATAGTACTGTAGGGGTGTACTTGCTGCCCTGGTGGTTTAAAGTTGTGAAGAAAGGGGAAACAACCAATCAGGAGAGATGGCTTTTCACAATCCAGAGGTTTTTTAAAAAGATCGAAACAAATGATAGGGAGAGCAATTGAATCTTTGGAGAGCCAGCACAGGACCGTTTAAGAACATATGGTCTCATGAATGCTAACTCAAAGGCCAACAATTTTGTTTAGGCTGATGATCATTTATCAGCAAAAGGAGTGCATGGCCCAGGTGGGATAGGAAGCTAAAGGATTGTGGCCAAGAAGGCTAAGATGTATTTTTAAATTTTTTTAAGAAGTCACTTAGATTTAACATTTTTGGAAAGGTGTTTTTAAAAGAATCAAACTGAAGACACCTCCTTGTGCCCTCTAGTGGCCAAGAAAGGTGGTGTGAAGGCTAGAAGCCCCTAAGAGTTTTGGAGTGGTACAACATTTCCCTGGGAAATGCACGTGGCCCACAGGTTACATGTTGCCCACCCCAGTTTATCGCAAGGTATATGAAAGACAGCACAAGATGGAGAATTTATGCTTTCCTCACTTTGCTCAGAGGAAAGAAAAGTCAACAATTCACTTTCCTGACATGACAGTCTCTCCCATTTCTTTCTTATGCCTCAGCATACACATGAGGTTCAAAGCAGCATAGACATGTCCTTTTTTCAGACCTAGATGCATGGAAATAACCTCTAAGGAGTGCACTGCTTCTAGATTTGGAATAAGAGTCTCATCTCATGAGCCCCCCCCTTATCTTTTGCTTGCCCATTAGTTCTTACATGTTTTAAAATTATCTACAAGCATGTAGATTTTATATTGTACAAGAACGTGGCTTACCCATACACGTATTTGGTCATTTCTAGGGCAAGTCTAATAAGCTGTTTATCAACATGATATACAGTGGCGCCTCGCAAGACAATGTTAATTCGTTCCACAAAAAACGTCGTCTTGTGAAAACATCGCCTTGCGAAGCGCGGTTCCCCCAAAGGAATGCATTGTAATCTAATTAATGCGTTCCAATGGGGGGAAATGGTCATCTTGCGGAAAAAAAGTCTTGCGAAACACGTTTTCCCACAGAAATGCATTGAGATCTAATTAATGAGTTCTATGGGCAAAAAAAATGTCAGAACAAAGTCAAATCAAAAAACTTTATGAATATCACAGAAAAACATTCATCTTGAGAAAAAGTATATATTAAAAGATTGTCTTTTAATATGTCAACTGTCAAAAACATTGTCTTGCAAAAAAGTGTCTCTTTTTAAAAATCGTCTTGCGAAGCATAGACCCAAACATCATCTTGTGAAAATCATCCATAGGAAAAACCATCTTGCGAATTGCAACAGCGATCGCAAAAACGAATCGTCTTGCGGATTAATTGTCCCACAAGGCAATCATCTTGCGAGGCACCACTGTATATTCCTGGGTGATTTACAACAGAAATTAAACACAATAAAAGACAAAGACAATTATATGAGTAAAACATTAAGAAACACTTTAAAATAATAGGTGAGCTATGGGATAAAACCATTGATGTTAAAAAAAGTAGTTTTAAATCTGAGGAAATGTCATAAAATAAAATAAAATCTGATGTCTACATGAGAGCACAATTGTTGCCAGTCATTTCTCTTCAGAGACAGTCTTCCATTGCTAGGGCAGGGGGAAATAGGCTTTCTTGACCAACATTTCAGCTGTTTATTTAGGGGACTGTCCTTTTGTTGTTGCAGCTGTTTAAACACCTGCCTGATCTTGTTGATTGCAAAAAAGATCTCTCTGTTTGAACAAAAGTCATTCAGAACTCTATCTGTGGCCAATTCCACTATCCAACCACTTCTTCCTTATGCGACTTGTATCTTGAAGGCTTGTACTGTACAATTAAGTATTGTGCATCTATTTTGGTAAGAAAAAAGATGGAAACAGCAAAGGAAAAAACATGAGAAGACTACAAATTTAATGTTCTCACAATCCTCTTGGCAAGCTTTGATAAATGGGACCTCCCAAGGCTATGACAGAGGCACATTTAGAAGCATCTAAAGTACAGAGGGCTTGCTCTAAATGAATTAATACCACCAATATAGTATAATGAAATTGGAATCTATGCCATGAATTTCACACTACATTTCATATCATGCACAGAAACATCACAGTCTGCTTTTATGTATCATCTGCTGTTGATCACTAAATTGTAGTAAGGGTCTTTTCGCAACGTGCATGAAGACACTAAGGTGTAACTGCATTAAGCATGTACATAGGCATAACAAGAACATTTTCTTATAATCCAGTTAATGCCCTTTTGGATATCACCTGATCAGCAAGCAGAAGAATAAAGATGACAGCATCCAGTCACTGCAGAGGAAAAGAAACATGAATTCTTTGTTGACTTTGGGCTTGGTTGCCACCAGTTTTGTTCTCATTTCTGCTCGACGTTTTGACAGGTAAAGAATTTTCCTTTAAAAATAAAGCAGTTTTGGGAAAATAGCTGTCCTGGCCATATATGCTACTAATTCCCTCATTTTATGTTCCAAGTGCCAAAGTATTTCGTGTGAAGCCTCAGAATGAAAACCAAGTGAGCTTCTTGAAGAACTTAGCAAACATTGCACAGGTAAGACATTTCTACCATGTGGATATTTTTCCACCTGTCCTTTGTATTTAGGCTCTGATTGCTGAGCAAATTGTATGGATCAGTAAGGCTATTTTATTCAATAATGACTTAAGATTTTTAAAAATGATGTGATGCAAATTTGCCAAGGTATTCAGCAGCAAATATAACTACAAAAGCCTGCTTGGAAACAGCCTTCGGTCCTGTATATAAATTTAAGTTAGGATGAAAATTTCCCTTGTCTACAAATGAACAATTTAAAAGAAAAAATAGTAGCATAATGAATCCACATCCAGGATGGAGCCGGCTAAATCTAAGCACAAGATTGACTGCAAATTCAGGAAGGAATAAAATACATGTATAGATATGACCCCTGAAGCACAAATATTTAGGCACACAGCTCTTCAGGCATGCTTCTATTAACATCTTAAAACTTTGCCATTCCTTCATTGTCTTCCTCTCAAAATTTCAAGGGCAATGTGTGCTCATGAGGTCCTTATCACAGAATATTTAAAGGTATTTCAACATGACTAGTATCCAGATAACTCTTTGAACTTACTTAAATATTTGAATCACACTGAGACTGCAACTCTGTGTGCATTGACCTGGAGTGAGCCCCGCTAAATGCATTGGAACTTACTCCTCGGGAGACATTCCTAGGATTGATGTGTACAGAGGCACCTCTCCAACCAAGTATTTCAGCTCAAGTACAACACGATCCTCAAGTCCTGTCTTACGTGCTACTGGGAAAAAGTCTCAGTGTTTGCATAGCATGTAACCTCAACATCATGTCATCATTGTTAGTTTTGTTTAACTAAATGCAAATTGATCATGAATACTAAATGAGATCTCCATCAATTTAGAAACCAGAAAAAATTCCCGTTCCAAAGCATTCCAAGAAAGCTACATTATTAACAGTGAGGTAAAGCTTTCATATAGATCCAGAATTCTTATTTTCTCAAATGAATATAATGTTTACAAAACTCAGTTTTTCATACTATAGATCTAATTTAGGGATCTTTATCTCACTGGTTCTTAACCTTGGGTTACTCAGGAGTTTTGGACTGCAACTCCCAGAAGCCTTCACCACCAGCTGTCCTGACTGGGGTTTCTGGGAGTTGCACTTCAAAAACATCCGAGTAACAAAGGTTAAGAATCACTGCTTTATCTGGTGTTACTGAGTTATGAGAGAAAGCCATAATCCTTGATAGAATTTGAATTTTACTACAGCTCCCTTCACTTGTCCCAGCTCCCGCCAACCTAGCAGTTTGAAAGCATGCAAATGCAACTAGATACAGTAAATAGGTACCACCACTGTAGGAAAGTAACAGTGTTCCGTGTCTAGTCATGCTGGGCATGTGACCACGGAAACTGTCTTTGGACAAACGCTGGCTCTACGGCTTGGAAACGGGGATGAGCACCGCCCCCTAGAGTTGGACACGACTGGACTAAATGTCAATGGGGACCTTTACCTTTACACCAGTGGTCCCCAACCTTGGGCCTCCAGATGTTCTTGGACTACAACTCCCAGAAGCCTTCACCATCAACTGTTCTGGCCAGGATTTCTGGGAGTTGAAGTCCAAGAACATCTTGAGGCCCAAGGTTGGGGACCACTGCTTTACACAACAAAATAATCACAATCTAATTTTGTTTTCTTTCTCATTCATTCAGTTGTTTTAAAGAATTTATCAGCGTGCTTCATCCTATGTTCTTTTTCCATGAAAGAAAAAGAATCTTCCTATGTGATAGAAGTATTATTATTATTCTCTCTGTGTTTAATAACCAAGAAGTGACTTATATATTATCTTTAATGTGCAAAAGACAATATATTTAAAGAACAGGTCTGGATACTAATTAGTCTTAGCTGTTCACAAGTTGTTCACAAAATCAAACCTTAAATTGCCAACTACCTGCCTACACAGATAACCCACTGAGTTCAATGAGACAAACTGTGAGATAAGTGTATTCAGGTTTGCTCTATGAGGAAGGTCCACACTGAAAGGAATCCCGATTCAAAAACATTGTGCAAGTCAAACAGTCACAATATTAGAGTCATAGTCAATTTGCTTCCCTCAAAGTGATTCACAAAAGCAAATAAACGCAACAAGCATAATTATGATCATACTACATCATGACATGAATTCAAATATAATTCACTTAACTTTTCAACAATTTAAATAAAAATATCATATATCAATAGGTTAACTTATAGTTAATTAGCAGTATCAGGCATCAGCATTATGCTTGTATTAACCAATTCACAGAACCTCCATTTGAAAGATAACAAAAGATACTACACTATATCTGTTTATATGCAGAGATTGCTTAATGTATATTCAGAGCCAAGGATATATTTGCAAACCACGAACCGATCAGAAGAAAGATAATGTATTAAAAATTAGGTGCCCAACAGCAGTGCCTCTTTTTGACACAACATTCATATCCATGTGTATTAACCAGTTGTTTGTGTTTCATCCTGTGCAGATTGACTTTTGGTATCCAGACTCAGCGTTACATATTGTCAACCAAATGGAAGTTGACTTTCATGTCAGTGGTGACCAGACCAAAAATGTGGAAAGTCTCATGGAGCAGAATGGCATGCATTATGAGTAGGTTACATTTAACTATATTTCTCTAGCCTGTTGCTATAATTCTGCAAACTGTAGCTCCAGCACTCCTCAAGCCTGGCATCCTCCAGATATATTGAACTACAGCACCCATCACTCCAGCCAGTCTGTAGATGGTGGTAGCTAAGTGCAGTACAATACTGGTTGTATTGTATTATTATTGTTAAGGGAGGTGGGTGTGCTTATGGTTACCTCCACAGTCAGACCCTGGCCCCATAAGAAGAGTCCAAAACTGCAGGCATCTGAACTGGTCTATATCAAAAAATAAACACATATTTTTGGCCTAGTGTTGAGCTGTTGCAAGGCTACATAAAACAAAAAAACAAAACAGTGAGCAGCTGACTGGAGCAGCTTCTTCCTCCCCAGTTATATGTTCGGCAGAGTGAAACCCGCCCTTCTCCAGTCTGCCTATTTGAAATTTTTCTCCCAACCAGTGCAAAGCGAGATTTTCTCCTGTTAGCCAATGGGAAGCCAGCAAGGTTGATGGTGGAATGACTTGGGAGGGTCCGTGTGGGAGCCACCATACCAGCTCCAGCCCCTTCTGTCATTCACTGTAGCCCCAAGACTGTTCTGTCAACAACAGGGTGGCCCCAGGTAAATCTGGGTGCCCCTTTTCTAAAGTTAATGGCTCTTTATTTCCCATTCACAAACAACAAAGATCACTTGCAAGAATACACTGTTTCTAGGAAAATCCATTTCTTTCATAGCTACTATGAGGACTGCAGCTAAGCTCAAAAAGAACACAGAAGGCTGGGGAAGGAAGGTGACAGATGATGCCATAGTCCTTGCTGCTTTGAGGCTGAATCCTGTTGCTTAGTGCAGTAAGTTGCAACTCAAGTAGGCTCAATGATTGAGTGGAACTTACCACATCTCCACTGATTCAATGGGCCTACTCTAGTTGTGACTTGCTATACTAAACAACAGGATTTCAGCTAGAAAGTCCTGGGGCTTCAAATGAAGTCCTAAGACCTCAGCACTGCATAGCACAAACCCCTTGAACAAGTTGGATCTTAAGAGAACACTTTACTTTTACCCAGTACTTTGCAAGTACAGACACATGGGCTTTGTGATTCCTTAGAACTCTCAACAGCTCAGTTAGGTAGGACTCTTAAAGATACCTAGATTGTGGCCCTCTCCACTCCCTGGATTTAGCCAGACCCTGCTGTTCAAGAGACCAGTCCTTCTGTAAGAATTTTTATAACTAATTTTTATTAGAAAAATAGAGTTTCATAGAATCAGTTTACCGCGGTGCCTTGCATAACGAGCGCACCATTTAACAATGAATTCGCATAGCGATCCGTTTTTTGGGATCGCTAATGCGATCGCATACCGATGGTTCCAATAGGCAAAAATCGCTTTGCGAAGATCGGTAAGCATTTCGCTTACCGATCTTCACATTGCGATGTCGGGGGAACAGCTGATCGGCGGTTCCAAAATGGCCGCCGGAAGACCCAAAATGGCCGTGCACAGCGTTTTCCCGCCCTGCCCTCGCTTACTGAGGGCGCGAAAATGCCTGCACTATGGAGGAACATCGCTGAACGGGGAGTTTGGGGCCCATTGGAGCGCATTAAACGAACCAATGGGTTTTTCTATTCCTTTTAGCGATGTTTCCGAGTAGCGATGGTTAATCCAGAACGGATTAACCTCGCTATGCCAGGCACCACTGTATATTGCTCAGGCTTTAGCATAAAGAACATATTCAAAGATCATTACAGTTAAATAAAATAACTAATACCCATTAAAATAATAAACACTACTAAGCTGGCCTAAGGTGGGCTAGCCCCACCTCCTTCTTTCGCTCCACTTACATTCTTTCTCCTTAAAGCCACATACTCAAATCATCAAGTTCTTTTTATCTCCCATCATCATGGAATAGAACTTCTGAACTTCTTCCACATAACCCATCATCCATTTTCTACATTCTCTAACTCTTCCCTTCTTCTTGACAATTCATGGCTGTTAACTGATTAGCCTCAAGGGGCTATAACATCTTCCTCCTCCCTCAATTCCCATGAAAATCCAGGTGTTTTATCTCTTCTCAAATTAGCTCAGAATGTTGAGTTTTTCATGGGCTCCTTGTATGACCTTCAGCTTTATCTTGAACCACGCTGTACCGGTCTTCAGAAAAACACTCTCATAGCACTTAGAAAAGCACATTCCAATGTGTCTCAAATCATCTTCACACAGAACCTTTCTGACTCCATCTTACATTTCTCTGACTACATATCCCATACTGTTTCAACTCAATCACAAAGCATATAACAAAGCAATGATAAAATGTTATAATAATAAATTATAATCTTAGAATAATAAAATATTTATTAAAATCAGTTAAATTGTTACCCGAGCAGGTGAACAAACAGAAAGATGTTTGAGCAAGCAAATAAAACATCAGGTGCTGGGTAGAAACACCCTACAATGGGAGGCCTCTTGATCTCAATAGGGATATCATTCCATATGCATGAGCACCACAACCCAGGAAATCCTCATCTCCCCATGAATAATAATAATAAATAAATAAAATCCAGGTGTTTTATCTGTTCTCCAATTAGCTTGGAATGTTGAGTCTTTTACAGGCTCCTTGTCCGAACTTCAGCTTTTTCTCGAACCACACTGTACTTCAGAAAAATACTCAAATCATCTTCACACAGGACCCATATGACTCCATCTTACATTTCTCTGACTACATATCCCATACTGCTTCAACTCCATCACAGCAACCAGCTCCGGCAGACCCTACTGTTCATGAGACCAGTCCTTCTGTAAGAATTTTTATAACTAATTTTTATTAGAAAAATAGAGTTTCATAGAATCAGTTTACCGTACATTGCTCATGTATTAGCATAAGGAACATATTCAAAGATTATTACAGTTAAATAAAATAACTAATCCCCATTAAATTAAAAAACACTATTAAGCTGGGATAAGGTGTGTTCTCCCCACTTACATTCTTTCTCCTTCAAACCACATACTCAAAGCATCAAGTTCTTTTTCTCTCCCATCATCATGGAATAGAACTTCTGAACTTCGTCCACATAACCCATCATCCATTTTCTACATTCTCTAACTCCTTCCTTCTTCTTGACACTTAGTGGGGGTTTTTATTTGTTTTTCAGCCCCATTGCGTTCGAATGGGGCTGGCTGTGTGCGGAGGGTGTTTTTTCGTTTGTTTTTCAGCCTCATCACATTCTGATGGGGCTGCCTGTGGTTTTTTTCTTTTGTTTTGTTTTGGGGTGTTTTTTAATGCTGGAATGGATTAATCATGTTCCAATGCATTCCTATGGGAAATGGTGCTTCGACTTATGACCCTTTCGAGTTACGCCCATCTTCTGGAACGGATTATGGTCGTAAGTCGAGGCACCACTGTAGCTGATGTTGATACTGTGAGAGGAACTTTTAAATAAAAATTAAAGACCTTTGGAGCACTTTGAGAAGTGCCACTTTTTATACCAGGGTGTTGCAACTGATCCATGCCTTATCACAACATGCAACTGCCTTTTTGCTGGAGGCAGCTGAAAAGGCCTCCCAAGTGATAGCAGGAAGGAGCAAGTCATCTACATGTTTCAGCCCAAGCATGGCTACAGAGATGGTCAGTGCAGGAACCTGCAGAGTTGCAAAGTGCCACAGCAAAATTGTGCTTCTGTTCTTGTGAAATTCTGATATTCATACAAAAGACCACTCTCTGTGATCTGCTGTGTTGCTTGTGTGCACATGTTGTATGACACCCTTTAAAAACACTGTACATAGGTGGTATGTGTGCATTTTGCTCCAGCATCACTTGTTTATCCTGTGTGAAATGGGTATTTTCTTGTGTTTTGTAAGGGCAGATATCTTATTTTGTGTTTGAGGCTCAACCCTAGAGTTGAGCCTCAAACTCAACTCAAGCTCAGAGTTTATCTCTCTTTTTTTATGGGTTGTTTTTTGTTTTTTGTTTTTAAGCCAATTGAGATGTCTCCGGAGCTAATTGGGCCACCCTCACAATGAATGGTATCCTCCTCCCCCCATTAAAGCTATTTAGTGTGAGTGCCCACAATAATCTCTCATCTTTCCAAATGCACTCACTGGCTCCAAATGTGTATTAGCATGCCCACATAGCACACATGGTTTACTAGTCATTCTGTTATCTCAGTGGTTTTAATACCAAAAGATAAAGAAGAGCTGCAGACTTTATATATTAAATCACAATGTTGTTCTGTACTATGTAGAATTTTATTTCAAAACCTGCAAGAAGACATTGAAAATCAGCTGGTTGACAAGAGTTCTACTGGAAAACACAGTTATACAAAATACAACGACTGGAGAAAGGTACAGATAAATTTTATGACCCAAAAATACATTATATGTGTACATATGCATGTATGTATTAACCAGTTTTCTGGCCATAGGGCATCCCATACAATGGTCAACAAAGCAGATAGCAAACATTATTTTGAAATAGATTCAAAGCAATTCTAAAAGCAATTTTTAGAAATAAAAATCATGTGGAATTGTACAATTTTGTCTGTGTACCATCTATTGCTTGGAAATCCCACTGGTTGTCCTTAGAGAAGACAATGGCCCAACTATTGATTGCTCTGCATAGAACCTGGGGGAGGGGTACCTAATTAAAATGTGCATATCAACCCTGCAAAGTATGAGAACAGTATGTGCTGGCTATAGCCAGCTGAATCAGATCATCACTCATGCACAGGGAGTATACACACACACAGAGAGAGAGAGAGAGAGAGAGAGAGAGAGAGAGAGAGAGACGGACAAATATCATTCATATTGGATGCATGTATGTATTTTGTACATAGGGTACAAGAGCAATTGTCATGTTTTTTTCACCACAGTTCTACAATTGTATGCATGTATGTATTCTGTACATAGGGTACAAGAGCAGTTGTCATGTTTTTTTCACCACAGTTCTACAATACTGTACATAGTTTTCATGTGCCAGATCCCCACTTCATTATGTGTCCCTCTCCTACACTCCAAGTGTGCTAAACATACCTGTATACAAGAACCTGTGTGCATACCAAGTCCATGTGTGTCCACATGACTGGGGAGCCTATCAAAAGAATAGGCTTTATTTCCTACATACAGGCTTGTTCAGAAGTCATGATAAATTCATATCACAGAAAGGAAATAGCTGGCAGGTATGATTCCACTTTCCTTTCTGTGTGCATCATGTAAAATGAGTACATTACTAAAGTGTTGTCCTTAAGTACAGAAAGAAGACAAGGAGTGGAGAAAAGGGCATAACTGGGCCAGAAGGCCCAACAAACTAAGCAATATGAGCATGGAGTTGACGGCACACAAAGTCCAGTGAAAGTATATAAAAACGATATAATCCGTACCCAACCAGAAATGTCTCAGTAAATACAACAAATAGTATATGTGACTATATAATAAGGGACACTTTTCTGTGCTAAGCTAGCCACTACGAAGCTTTACTCCTCTCTAAGTCCAATTTGTCATGTTTGCGTATCAATTCCATAAATATATCGAGTTATATTTTTGATATATATTTAATTTGCAAGAGGACTCTGATTTGTACTTGATTTGTATGTGTGATTATACTTGAGGAGAAAGTCAATATAATTGAACTGAATAAGAATAAAATAATGCTTTCTTCTGCAGTCAATCAATACATAGTAGGTTTTGGCTAAGCACCTATAACATCAACTACTACAAATATACCATATTTTTTGTGTATAAAATGCCCCCATGTATAAGACACACTCACACTTTTCTAACCCTAACCCCTCCAGTTTGTTGCAAGGTAAGTGCTTTCCCCATCCACTTTCTTCGCAAAAAGTGGAGGGGGAAAGCAGGAATCAAAGCACTTTGATCCCTCCCCCCTCCTTAGTTCTGTGTATAAGACAACCCTCAATTTTTTATCTAAAGATTTTAGACAAAAGTATTGTCTTTTGTACACACAAAAATACAGTACAAGAAAATAAATCCACCAATTTTGACACAAACATTCTATAGCAGTTATAAAGAAGGATTACAGACCTTTAGCTGTCTTGTTCAAAGCTTGAGAACATAGTAATATGCCTGCAAAATACCATGATTTTTCTGTTATGTGGTTGTCAAGAGCAATGGTCCCCAAATGTTCTTGGACAGCAGCTCCCAGGAATCCTGGCCAGCACAGCTAGTGGTGATGGCTTCTGGGAATTGCAGTCCAAGAACATCTACAGATCCCAGTTTGAGAACCACTGGTCTAGAGGAGAAGAGAGGAATTAAAACAATAAGGCTATTCCATTATCCATTGTTCTTCAAAAGGAAGTGTGGCCACTAGCACCTCTGCCTTTAAAAGCAGCTCAACCTATGCACATTACAGTGGTGCCTCGCTTTATGATTGCCCCGCATTACGATAAAACCGCTTAATGATGATCTTTTTGCCATTACAATTGCAAAACGATGGTCTGAATGGGGAAATTTCGCTTTGCAATGATCGGTTCCCTGCTTCGGGAACCGATTCTTCAGAAAACGATGGTTTTTGAACAGCTGATCGGTGGTTTCAAAATGGCCACTGGGTGATTAAAATGGCTCCCCGCTGTGTTTAGGGACAGATTCCTCGCTATACAGGCAGCGAAAATGGCCGCCGTATGGAGGATCTTCGCTGGACAGTGAGTTTTTACCCCATTGGAACGCATTGAACGGGTTCAATGCGTTTCAATGGGGTTTTATTTTCGCTTTACGATCTTTTCGCTTAACTGCGATTTTCCTGGAACGGATTATCGCCGTTAAGCAAGGCACCACTGTAGTAGATTATCATCTGATTTCTAAGCAACCACTTCACTGTTAAAGCAAAAAAAAAGCTGGCCAGGCAATTTTTCTGGTCATTTAGCCATCCTAAGCAGATGATTGGAAACTATGGAAACTGCAGCCCTTCAATATTTGCAGTAAGGCATGAGACCACTTACTAGTTTCAGCATGTATTTTATCAGCCCAGTATCATGAACTTCCTTTGATATCAAAAAACTTCCTTCAAGTAACTAGTATTTAATTCTCCCCTACAGAAACAATCATTGTGCTCTGTCCTATATCACAGATTTCTGCATGGACTGCCAGAATTGAGAAAAGGAACCCAGCGCTGGTTTCCCGCATTCATATTGGAAATACCTTTGAAAATCGTCCCATGTACCTCCTTAAGGTACAAAGTTCTTTTCAGGATAATAGTCGAAGGATAAAGAGGATGTCTTACTTAAACTAAATACAGACTTGCAACCCAATTCTGTGAGTTTACTCATAAAGCAGTTTGGTAGGCCAGCATCCTATTGGCAATCCCACACAGAGTCGTTCTGTTGAATCACTGGGATTTACATGTGTGTTGACTGGCTATTCAAGATTTCGTTCAGCATAGCTACTCTAGTTGAAATTAGCAACAGGATTTATGCTTTAGGACCATCTAGGTCAATTAAGGGTTCATACAATAGTAGACCTAGAAACAGTATAAACATTTGCCTTGGCTGCAATGGAAAGTGCTATTTAAATGCAAAATGTGTTTTTGTGAATATCTAGGAGTAGAGCTGAGATGGTTGCAAGCAGCAACCTCTCAGCTCTACTGAGAGAGATATATACAGCAGCATATACATGTAAATGTACACATCACTGTGTACCTCCTGTGTTCCTCACCTTGCAAAATGTTTCTAAAGTAGGTTGGGAAACAAAGTGATGCCAAAAAAGCCATCTTCATTGATTGTGGAATTCATGCACGAGAATGGATATCACCTGCTTTTTGCCAGTGGTTTCTGAAAAAGGTTAGTCAATAAGTATTCTTTATTGTGTATTCTGTGCCATCAAGTTAGAACCAACTTATAGTGATCACAGTTGGGCTTTCAAGGTAAGTGAGATATTTAAGGAGCAGTTCCATTTCCCCAGTGAGTTTCCATGGCCAAGTGGGGTTTCTAATCATGTTCTCCAGATTCCTAGTCCCTCTCTTTATCCACTGCACCAAACTGGGAATTCTTTATTACGGAGCTGTATAAAGGTCTCTTTACTGCATGATACCCAGTAACATCAGGGATGAACTCTCGATTTGCTCCTAAAGTTGTTGTGAGGGACCCACATGACAGGGTTGCTGCAAAACAGTTTGTTGCTTGGAGGAAAGGACACCACCCAAATCAACCATTCCCATCTTCAGTAGCTAACTGGCCCAACAGCTGAATGGTGGAACAACACATTTAAGCTCCCCTGATGGTAACAGACTATCTTGAATGCATTCCACATGATTGCCTATATACACAGCTGTGCTCTCCAACAGAGCAACACAGTCAGGCAGTTGTTGCCTTTCCCCACTAACCAGTATCTGCCACCTGGAGCAACCATCTCACTCTGCCTAATGGCAGGTGGCAGCCTGCTGTTTCCAGAAAAATAAAGACTAGAGATGGGGACGAATATAAAAATGGATCGACTTTTTTTGATGAAAATAGCTGATTCGTTAAATATTCATCCCTTTATATTCATGGGTTCCAGGGACAACCCTCCCAAATATGAAGGCATGAATACTTACCCGTTATTATTCGTCCTTTGCATTTAAAACAACAACAACCATTCTGCCTACCAGCTGCCGATCAACTGATCCACAACAGAAAGGAAGCCGCCACCACCCACAGCCACCCAAATCCAGTCTACCCCAACATCCCCTTCCTTTCCCTAACTACAAATCCAGTGTACCCCAACATCCCCTTCCTTTCCCTAACTTAGCCCTCCTCACCCCCACCATCAACCCCTTTCTATTTTAAAAAAACAAAAACCATCATTCTGCCTACCAGCTGCCGATCAGCTGATCAGTGGCAGAAAGGTAGCCGCTGCCACCCCACCCCCACCCCACAGCCACCCAAACCCCCAGCCTACCCCCATCCCCTTCCTTTCCCTACCTTAGCCCTCCCCCACTGACACCCCTTACCTTAATTGCCGCTGCTGAGGTCTCCTTCTGGCCTCCCAGCCATGGCATGTAAAAAGGGAGACTGGCTGCCCTTTACAAAGAGGGCAACTGTGGCTTCACTTAGGGTAGGGAAGCTGCAGCTGCCATCTTTGCAAAGGGCAGCCTGGATTCCCTTAAGGCAGGCTGTGGGTTTGGGTGGCTATCAATCAGCTGATCAGGAGCCAGTGGGCAAAATTGTGTTTTGGGTTTTTTTTAAGAAATAGGAATGGGGTGTCGGTGGGGCTGGGGGAGGGCTAAGGGAGGGAAAGGAAGGGGGTGGTGGGTTTGGCTGTGGTTTGGGTGGCTGTGGAGAAGTGGCTGCCTTTCTGCCACCAATCAGTTAATTGGCAGTTGGTAGGCAGAATAGTGTTTTGTTGGGGGGTTTTAATAGGAAGAGGGTGTCGGCGGGTCTGGAGGGTGGAGGGGTGGCAGCAGGGGTGGTGTTTTTAAATAACCCCACCACAAATCTACAAATATATTTGTTATTCGTCGCTTCATGGGGGCAACTTCGTGCTTTACGACTCACGAAGTGTGACAACTCGCCAAAATGGTGAGTCATCCCCATCTCTAATAAAGACCCTTTTAAAAACCCTGTGATCTAGCTCTGACCCATTTAGGATCAACTAAGCCCCCAGTTGCAGTAGCTCCACCAGCTGTCAATCCATGTCCCGGCACAATTCAAAGTGCTATAAAGCCCTAGATGGCTTGGGTCCAAGCTATCTCAAAAACCTTATCTCCCTTTATGAGCCTGCCCAAGTGTTGATCATCAAGGGAAGCCTTTCTCTCATCCCCATGACCCTCACAGGTATGTTTGGTGGGGACACAGGAGAGGGCCTTCTCTTGTCATTGCTCCCAAACTCTGGAACTCCCTCTCACTGGAGGCCAGACGGGCCCTATCTTTGCTGTCCTTCAGCAAGCAGTTGATCTTTCTCCTCAGGCTGGTTTTTCCTTAGTGACTGGCTGTTTAAGAGAAGCTTTAACATGGGATGGTTTGGGCTTTTTCTTGCTTTTAAATCTGTTTTTGTTTTTGTTTTGTTTTTTGTAAAGCTTTTGCCAAACATTTTCATGGGGTGGTTTGGACTTTTTCTTGCTTTTAAATCTGTTTTTGTTTTTGTTTTGTTTTTTGTAAAGCTTTTGCCAAACATTTTAAATATCATGTTATTAATCATTTACTATTTGAAAAATTTATGGTTTTTAGCTTTTAATATTGTGATTTTTATGATATAAGCTGTCCTTGATCCTTTTTTAAGAAGAAAGATTTTAAACAAATAAAATAAATAAATAGGCAGAAGTTGATAAATTGTTTAATAGGACTGTTCTAGAAAATGGATTCATAATTGTTAGGGTGTGAATTAGATTTTATTCAACATCTATTATCATAGAATACAGAGGTGGAGAAGCAGCTCTGCTTACTTTAAAAGGGAGTAAGCTCCATTAAACATGGTAGGACTTACTTCTGAGTAAAACCATTGAGGGCCACATTGTATCTTTCATTCTTAAGATGAACTAACCTCTAGGTCCACTACTGTATCTTCAGGCCACCAGGACCTATGGAAAGGACACAAATATGACATATATACTGGACAATATGAATTTTTATATCCTCCCTCTGGTCAATATTGATGGCTATATTTGGAGCTGGACTCAGGTACTGTGCACAGTTTTCTGTAGCAAAATTGGCATTTAGAAAGTTAAGGCTTTGAAAGGGCTCCTCATTATTCAAACATATCCTTTTATTTTACTGTTTTTATTCCATTTTTTATTGTTGGCCACCCAGAGTAGACTTTGGTCTAGATCAGTGGTTCTTAACCTTTGTTACTCGGATGTTTTTTGAACTGCAACTCCCAGAAACCCCAGCCAGCACAGTTGGTGGTGAAGGATTCTGGGAGTTGCAGTCCAAAACTCTGAGTAACCCAAGGTTAAGAACCAGTGGTCTATGGTCAGGGCATGCATAAAGAAATTAATTAATTAATTAACTAACTAACTAACTAACTAACTAACTAACTAACTAAATAAATAAATAATTTTATGAGTCTGAGGTAAATGTGTGCCATTTTTCTTTTTCTTATTTCCCTGAAAAAAGGAGGGATCAACTCTGAATACTTATTTCTAATATTTACTTTTTCATATTTCCCTGAAAAAAGGAGGGTTCAACTCTGAATACTTATTTCTAATATTTATCCACCATATAGGAGGCACCTACTTTCCTGCCCCTAGTACCACATGGCCCTAGAAATTATCCAAGATCCTGGTTTCCCATTCTGTGGGTCGTGACTCGCAAAGAGGGACACAGAGTGTTTTCCTGAGGTGAACATGGTTCTCTTTTGTTGCAAGTATTTTTTTAGGAAACTTCACCATGAAAGTTTTCAATATTTATTTATTGCCCAGATACAAGTACAGCCATCAAATTAAGTATTAGGTTAGAATTATGTTCTGAAAACTTGATTTTTCATGTGTTTTATTTAGCAAATTAAAAATGCCTTTTTATGCAAATGTGGTGGGGGTCACAGATGACTTGACTATTATAAAAGGAGGTCACGACTCAAAAAAAAAAGTTGGGAAACACTGCCCTAGATAGAGGGGAATGGGGAGGAAGTAAAATGGTGACACAGATGCCAAAATGGTGATGGAAAAACCAATGGAAAAAAGAAACATTATTTGGATTGGGAGTGGAGGAGAAAGCTTTGCTGCAACCATCAACAAGGGTGAGTCTCCCAGTAATTGTTGAACAATTTCTCTTCCCATGGAGAAATTCAGTACATTATCCTTCCCCACATTCCTCTGCCCACAAATAAAGTGAAGAATTTTTAAAGCCCATTACTGCACAGCTATAGTTTATATCCAAACCAATATGTGCACATCTATTAAAACTGTGCATTTTTTGAAAAATGCAACATAATAATTTGATTGCAAAAATAGGTCACAATCTAACTCAAGTTAAGGTCTTTTATTTAGTTCAGTAGGATAATTGGTTCACCTCTTTTTCAAAGATAGATATAGATGATATAGATACAGTATAGATATATGCAATTCCATCCCATTAATGTAACCAGCTGTATCCTGAAATCCAAAAACGGGCACAAAATAACGTTTTGTTATTTATTGTCTGTATTTACACTGCATAATCAGGTGTTCAGGAATCTACCTGTCCAATACAAGTTCCCTCATAGCTTCTTTTTTTGTCACCATTATCTGACCATTTTCCAAGATAAAAGAAATAAATGAATAAATATTTATACAAGGTATAAATGTATAAATATTTGCCATGTAGTCCCACTCTTATGTCTGAGGAAATGGACCGGCCCACGAAAAATACAGCAGTTAGTCTTTAAGGTGTCACCTCAATTTTTGTCATTTTTATTTTGTTTTTGCCTGACAAGATAATAGAGTTGTTTCTAACCATATGGGCTTTGTGTTCATATGTCACTTTGAAACTTACTGTATTCCTTTATTTTGTCAAGCAGGATCGCTTTTGGAGAAAGAGTCGTTCCAATACATCGGATAGTGCCTGTGCTGGTGTTGATCTCAACAGGAACTTTGATGTTGCATGGGGAAGTAAGTAAGCTATCTAAAGCCATGGGCCTTTACTGAAAGAAGTCCTTTAGTTTCCATGGAACAATCAGTAAGCACAGACTGGCTCTGTAGCTGTCATTACCATTTCTGTATTTAAAAAGAGCCATTAGGACAGGGGTGTAGGTTCACCCATGTGTGTGCATTAATGTGGCAGTAAACCTGTAGGCAAAACTTCACACACACACACACACACACACACACACACACACACACACACACACACACACACACGATTGGGGAGCAAGTAATTTTGTTGTATACCTACTACTACTACTATAGCACTATGATTGCTGAAGATATATCTGCTTTTATGGTTCCTCCTCAATATCTATATATCATAGAGAATCCCAGTCACATGCTGAATGCAACAATCTTAGGCACTTTGGATTTGTTTTAAGGAGAAAGCCAGCAGATTTCAGAATTCATTATGTGTAACAATGGTTATGCTGAAGTATCAACCAACTTTAAAGGCAAGCCTAGGCTGCAGCATAGTCACTTATGTGTCAGGGAAGTTGATAGCCCTAATGGGTGAGGCCAATTTTGTTAGGCACATGTTTAGACGTGGGGTTCCCTCAAGCAGTGAATGACTTTTGTCACAGCAAGTACTTGTCCTCATCTCTATATCTTGCTGAGGGGGTGGGGAGAGATTTATTGGTCATTGGAAGGTAAAGGTGAACTCATTTTGCAAGCCTGATTGCTGACACATTGATCTCTGAGGAAAATACCTGTGATCAAAGATTTTTTGGACAATTCCTGTAGTCAGGAAAATCATTCGCTTCAGCATCTAGTTTGACACTCAGACCTTTATCCACAGTTGTAAATATGAGATATTTATTTCCTGGTGGAGCTAGTGTCTTGCTTTCACATCACAGTGGCTGTTCCCTTAGATGCAACTTTTGCATTTTCTGAAAGATTAAGTTGAGTGAGATGGGAAATTGCCATTGCTATATTTTTCTTCAGCAAATATTCCACATTCTTTCACTGATAAATTCCTAACAATGAACAGGGTCAATACAAATCAAGCAGAGTAACTGGAATGGATACAAGTATTAGACAAATCTGAAAGTGCTAATGCAGTAAACCTTTCCAGATGACTATTCCTTGGAAGTAAAAAGAAAGAAAGAGAGAAAGATGTATGTGCACAGTGCCCCTATATATTTTTAAACTCTAAACTAGGTAAGGATTCAATAATCCTTTGGGCGTCATTGCAAGAATATATTGGATCTCCCCTTCTAAGGCAAGGAGAGAGGCCCACACTTGGAAGGAAGATCTGACCCAACAACCACCATCCCAAGAACATAAAGGGAAGAAGAGAAGCAGGGCTATGGGCTTCTTCAGGACCCTTCTGCTCTCCAAAAGCAGTGGCAGATCTCTGCCAACACTCCAGTTAGAAGCAGAAACAGAACTCTGCAGTTAGAAACAGTGTTAGAAACACTGAAGTTAGAAATTGTAGTTAAAAAGCCAGTGTTTTCTAGCTTTTAGTTTTTGTTTTCTGTTGTTAATTCTATAAATATGAATCATATAAACATACTGAACTAGGTCTTTATTAATTTAGGGGACTGGAAAATTTTCTGGAAATTAGCATTAGTCTTCACTTTGCTAGTGCAATTCAAATTAAATATGCAGTTAACAGAGCAGAAGAATTCTTTTTATTAAAAGCTGTCGATGCCTCCAAAAATCCGTGTCAAGAAATCTACTGTGGAACTTCACCAGAGTCTGAACCAGAAACAAAAGCTGTCACAACATTCATCAGGAACCACCTCTCTTCAATCAAGGCCTATCTGACCATTCATTCCTACTCTCAGATGCTGTTGTTCCCTTATGGCTATACCTATGAGAAGACACCTAACCATGATGAACTGGTATTGTGAAACTGAATCTGTAGACCCTGTTTCCAGTATCTGTAGTAACAGTTCTCTCCTTTTAAGAAATCAGATTTAAGCCATATACAAGGTCCTACAAGACTATAAGGAAAAAAAAAACATGCTGGATCAGATCCCAGACCTGCCTGGTCCAGCATTCTATTTTCAGTGTGGCTAACTATATACCTATGGAAGACCCACGGACAGGATGTCACCGGAATTTTTAAACATTTTTTAACTAAAGGTCGCAGAACTAAACAGGATTTCCCCTGGCCAAAATTCTGGCAACTATAAACCCTCCCCCCAAAAAATATCAATTTTATGAGAGGAGTTTCAGCACTGACAAGTCTTCCTCTGAAAACCAAAGAAGTGAGTGACAGTGGCTCCATGGGAGCTGCAAGAGATTATGAGAATTGTAGTTTTTCAAGATGTATCCTTCATGGAGGCGAATGAGCTAAGAGACATCTCCTCTGAGGACTTGGATTTTTTGGCTACAAGTACTAGATTTCTGGCTGGGGGAATGCCTGGTGAATTCTGGGACCTGTAGTCAAATAAATGTATGAAAGCTCCATGTCTGATGACCACAGGAGTACCCTCCAGTTCATGAACTCCAAAAACTGCCATACCAAGGCACATTACTACTGAAAGTAAGTAGTCTTTAAACCCAGTGCAATTTCCTTTGTATATATGTTTTGGATTAGTAGCAAGACTGAAGAAGGATTATGCTAGCTAAAAGGAATTCACATAATCATAAAAAGAACAAAAACAAAAAAACCTTTCCTGATCATACCTAAGGAAAATCTAGTCCAGCATGCTGTTCCTACAGCTACAATGACCAATCCAGTTTGCATGAGAAGACCACAAGCAGGGATACATGATAAATTATGTTTCCCAGCAATTAGTAGCATATTACCTCTGACACGTAAGGTAGTTTACATCCATTGTAACTGGTAGTTGTGAAAGCAGCAATGTCCTAAGCTTGAGGCAAGCAAACACCAGTTATGATGGATTCTTCTGACAAAATAAAGAGTAATACGTATAAGCTTATATTTTATGGTTTAAATTGAGAAGAGAAGACTCCCTGGAAAAGACCATGATGTTGGGAAAGTATGAAGGCAAGAAGAGAAGGGGATGACAGTGTCACTGAAGCTTGTTGTTGTTTAGTCATTTAGTCGTGTCCAACTCTTCATGCCCCCATGGACCAGAGAACGCCAGGCCCTCCTGTCTTCCCCTGCCTCCCAGAGTTTGGTCAGATACATGTTGGTAGCTTCGATGACACTGTCCAACCATCTCGTCCTCTGTTGTCCCCTCCTCCTCTTGCCCTCACACTTTCCCAACATCAGGATCTTTTCCAAAGAGTCTTCTCTTATGAGATGGCCAAAGTATTGAAGCCTCAGCTTTAGGATCTGTCCTTCCACTGAGCACTCGTTGATTTCCTTTAAAATGGATAGGTTTGTTCTCCTTGCGGTCCAGGGGACTCTCAAGAATCTCCTCCAGCACCACAATTTAAAAGCATTCATTTTTCAGCGATCAGCTTTCTTTATACTCCAGCTCTCGCTTCCATACATCACTACAGGAAAAACCATAGTGATGGTTTTTCACTTGTCAAAGTGTGCAGCGCTGTTGATAGTGTTGTTTGAGTTTAACATGAATTTGACCAAACTCCAGGAGGCAATGGAAGACAGGAGGGCCTGTTGTGCTCTGGTCCATGGGGTCATGAAGACACCACTTAACAACTAAACAACAGCAACATGCTGATCTCTTTTTTAAAAAAAATCTAATCAGCTTTTTTGTTTTGTTTTGTTTGTGTATGAAAACAGAATGAACTTGCAAAAGGAGCTGCTCAAGCTATAGCCAGCCTATATGGGAAACATTATAATTATGGGCCATCAGCAGCTACAATCTGTAAGTATTTAAAACATGGTCAAAAAGATATCATGCACTGCAGTTCAAGAATGCTATAAGAAGTAAAGAGCTCCCCTGGAACAAAGTGAATGGAGAGAACAGTAGAGGTCCAAAAACCCCAAAGTTAAAAGGGAAAGCCCAAGAAGTATGTTATCTTGTGGTCTTCAGGAGCTATGGAGACCCTGAAAAAAAAAGAGACAGCTAGGAAGAGAAACAGCTGAGGACAACAGCCTAGGTCATTGTGGGAATCAAGTAGTACAGCGTGATCAATAGCATCAAAGGTGGTAAAAAGATCAAAGAGGGTGAGGACTGTATTGAAGATTTTCAGTTAGTCCATGAGGAGATCATCAGTGATGATCATGAGAACAGTTTCTGCCCAGAGCAAGGGGCAGCTATCAGACAGAAGGGAGTCAAAACTAGAACTGGATTAGAGGTGAAGCAACATAAGTAAGAAAGATTCCCCAGGAGTCTGTGCATAAGTGGTCAAAAAGATACCATGTTGAAGCAACAGAAGTAAGAAAGATTCCCCAGGAGTCTGTGCATAAACAGAAGTAAAAACTTTGCATGATAGTTAGAAAGGAGAGACTGATCAAGTGATTGATGACTGGAGGTTATTTTCACACATCTGAGTTTCAGGAACTAAATTAATTAACGGCCTTTCTGTATTTAATGGATTTGGGTCCCTCCTTTCTGAGCTCCTTACTTTCTGTTCTTAAAAATTAAGCAGAGAAAACTGCCTCATTCATGATCAAGCTATTCATCCATTTAGGGCAGCGATGGTGAATCTATGGCATGCATGCCACAGCTGGCACGCAGAGCTCTTTCTACGGGCACGCAAGCCATAAGTCACCTGAAAAAGTGTGCAGTGCTGTTCATAGTGTTGTTTGAGTTTACGAACTCCAAACACAGAGCAGTGCAGAGACAATGGGCATGCAAGCCATAAGTCACCTGACAAAGTGTGCAGTGCTGTTGATAGTGTTGTTTGAGTTTACAAACTCCAAACACAGAGCAGTGCAGAGACAAAAATGAAAACACAAGACTCAGGTGTGTTCCCTTCACCACCAGAACTGTATTTACCAAATATACATACATATATACACCTCTTCAGAATCGGCAGTGCAGAAAATAGTAATCACAGTCCAGTCCAATAGTCCAAGATGCTGAATGACAAAGTGACACACTGCTTCTCCATGAATAACCCAACAACATAGGTTTGTTAACTGCCTACCTATATACATAGGTATGATGCAACACTTAATCAGCAAATTGAGCATTGCACATGTGCAGGCATGCCACCTGTTCTGGCTAGATGCCAACTAGAATGACTCAGTGTTTCTTCCTTTGCTTAGTCATTCTGCCATAATTCAGACTGACGATTCCATATTTTTCTGTCATATGTTTATTTATTTTATTTAGTTATTAGATTTCTATCCCGTCCTTTTAGACAAAGTCTACCAACATTGCTGGATTACTACTCCCTCCCCCCCGAGCCAAACCTCAGGAGGCAGCTGCAGCCGCAGTGCTGGCACTTCGACAGACAGTGGGCCAGGATCTGGAGTGGGGTCTCAAGGCACCTCCATACCCGGGATTCCCCCTTCTGCCACCACTTCTGGTTCTGCCGCGTTCCACTGTCTGCTGGGTTTTTTGTTTTCCAGTTTGGGCACTCGGGCCCCAAAAGGTTTGTTGCCACTGATCTAGGGCAATATATCCAGAAAGATGGATAAATAGCTTCACTTACAGATGACCAGGGTTTCAGATCCCCCTGTTTAAAAACTGGAGATAGCTCTGTGAGCATCTTCATACTAAACATGTGCTTCTACATACAGTGTATTACTATGGTCCCCCTCCTTAACCGCAGTGACATATAAAAAGATTTTCTCCTCCTTCATTTCTTTTTTTTTAAATTTATTTATTTATTTTAAAATTTGACAAGAAAACAAAAGAAGAGAAAGAAAAAAAGGAACTAACCCCTAAAACTGACCCCACCCCCCTTTGGAGTCCGGGACTCCAGCTTCATTAACCTATCTGCTCCCCCAATTTCATTTCCAGTATGTGCTAAGTAAGTATACATACATCATAAACTTTGCCCTACACTCCTATCTTCTTCTGGGCCCAAGAATATATTAGTTCCCAGCTTTGTTTTACATAGTATCTTGGTTGTTCCCGTAGTGCTTCTGATAGGGTGTCCAGTTCTCTCCTCCTTCATTTCTAAAAGCCTCTCCCTCTCTCCCTCCCCAACCCCTCTCTCTAAATGTTGTATTCTTCACAATACCACCTACTTCTGTTGCCCTGTTTTGCAGATCCTTCCTCTGGTTGTTCTGATGACTGGGCTTACAAGCTGGGGATCAAATACTCCTTCACCTTTGAGCTTCGCGATAAGGGCAGATACGGGTTTCTCCTTCCCGAATCTCAGATCAAGCCAACTTGCGAAGAGATTACATTGGCAGTCAAGTTCATTGCTAGTTATATACTCAGCCACACCTCATAATATGAAATAATACTTTCTAACAAATTGTGGAGATTTGAAATGAAATAAATAAGTGCATACAGAAATAGCCATGTTTATGGATAAAATATTCACGGGTTCGTATTAATCTTAGGAATCTATGATTTCAGATATGCAGACTACCAAGTATTTAACTTCTCCCAGTTCCAGCCACAGCTACAGTACAATAGCAGCCTTTTAGAAAACCACTGTTTGATCTTACCAGTCACCTAATATTTTTCTAATTACTCGGAACCAACTGGGTCATTATATAAAAAGAACCTGTTTTTATAGTTTTTTTCAACAGATTTGTGAACAACAGCGCTTAATCTTCCCTCCATCATAATGAGTGATAATGAGTAAGTGCTGTTCATAACAAATGATGTTATGCCCACTTTAACTGCCCTATTTAATTTATTACAGGCAACATAATTACATATGTAAGATTTTCCTTCCAAGCTTTGCTAAAAAATAATAATTTTAACTTGCGTTCCAGAACAGGGAAAACAGAGGTTTGCTTTTTTAAAAATAGGAAATAGCATCAGAAGTGAATATAGACACAGTTTCATAAAAAGACAAGAGGCTGAGGAGGGGAATACATAAATTCTAATTGACACAATTAATAAAGCAGTGGTACTCAAATTCTAATTGATACAATTAAAAACACAGTGGACTAAAATATGAGTCTTATATCTCAGACTTAATTAAATTTCAGATTTGCTGCATTAATTTCTTTGTTAAAGCTAGATTTGAGAGTCTTTCATTCATAAAAGTAACTTCCCAAACCACTCCTGGTGTTCTTTCCTCAGTGACTGGTCATCGCTGACCAGCTCCTCCTCCCTCACAACACAGAGTGTGGAGTCAAGGTGGCATCCCTGATAGTGAGTCCTACTATAGCCTTGACAATTTTCCCTACCACCTTGACTACAGCAACCCTTCTCCATAAGAAGTTATTTCAGCTCTCACAATTTTGCTTGTCTATTTGTGTTGTTGTTATTGTTGTTGTTTTGTGTCATCAAGTCAAACCTGGCATATAGTGTCCCTAACAAGGCTTCCAAGGTAAGTGAGAAATTTAAGGAACAGTTTTACCAATTCTACTGCCTCAACAAGTTTCCGTGGCTGAGCAGGGATTCGAACGCTCTCGTCTTTAGAGTCCTAGTCCATCACTCTATATCCACTACACCACACTGGGTATCTGTTTGTGTAGTGACCAGAAATATATATAATCTTACAAGTGTAAATGTACAGTAGATTTAGACTATATGTTTGATTAAACACATAATGTGGCTCTCAAGGATAATCACAACCAGAAAGCAAAATTTTATGGGACTGCCTTAAATTTTATGGTAGGGCCTTGCTTTTCTACATGAAGGTTCCTTCACAATCATTGTACCGTAGAACTAAATCAACAGTGACACCTCGTGGGCAGAATGTGACACAATGTGATATGTCACTAAAATGACGTCAGTAAACAGAACACCATGTTTATATTCCACAATGAGAGTGTGAGATGAGAACAAGGGTGATATTTCAGCTCAGGGAGCCTTAAATGGCACATTCAGAAAAGCATTTTCTACCCCAGAGGAGACCTTTTTTACTTCTTGCATTACCTGCTTTTTAAAGTATATTGTTATTCCTATTATTTTATCTATTCAATCTATTTTCCTTTGCCTGTATCTATTTTGGCTTGAGGGCAATACTGATAAGATGGTGATGATGCTCCAAGCTGCTCTGCTGCTCAAAATAGCATAAAAAGGGGGAAAACAGTAATGACATGTAAGTCAAAGCCATCACCAGATTAAAATAACACCATGATCAGTCAGTCATAATAAATCTGAGGGTTTTATCTGAAGCTTTAAGGCCCCAAAGAACAGTCCCTCTAAATTTTGTTCCCTCTGCATGAGAGCCTTGCTCCACATGCACATGGAAGGGCGGGGCTTCGTCCAAAACAAGAAATAAACAGACCAGCTGTTAGCTGCCTGTGTGCACACCTTAGAAGTGAACATTGCCCCCAAACTGTAGGTGCTGAATGAATGATTACAGGGGAGTTTCACAGGGAAGGGAACACAGCAAGACCTAATCCTTGCATCCTAGAAACCCTGTTCTGGCATTACTGAATCCAACACTGTGAGCACCCTTAAAGCTGAGCACGTAGCCCCACTCTCTCTTCCATGTTCTTTTCTTCATGGCTTCAGTGCCATCTCTGAAGACAAGAGATTTCGACTCACATATAGATTCTACACATGAGCAAGAACTCTGGAAAATCTGGGTTCCATTTCACATGTACAGTTTGTTGCAGAATTTTGAATTTCTGGTAAAATTCCTTTTCCTATGCAGTAGAAGTACAAAGATCTACAGAGAAGAATTGCTACAAGTTTGCCAAAGTCTTGACCCGCAGAAATATGCCTCTAAAAAGAAACATCATCAAATTACACTCACCCACAAAGTGTTGCAGATCAGCAAGCAACGGCATAGCACTAGAGTCCATACAAGCAGATTGTGCACAAGAGCTGAGTGGAGCACAGCTAGAAGAAAAATACAACACAAGCCAGCAGTGGTGTTTAAACAACAGCAGCAGCAACAACAGCAACAACAGAAAGGGAGGGGGGGTTGGTCACACTTCAGGCTTGTTTACCTTCAAATCTGCCTCGCAATAATCTCCGTTCCAAATGGAACTGATTTAGAAATCGTGTGGTAGTCACATATTATTTGGACTGGTGTGTATGTCCTCTTGGGAAAACGTTTAATTCATTTTTAAGCTGGGCTGTATCTCAGTTGAAGAGACCACACTGGCTTTCAGAACCATTGTATTTGAGGCTTCCTCCTGCACCTGCCTATCCTACCCTCACACTGGCCACTCGCCCCTGCTGCTGTGGCAAAGTGAGTGAGGTAGAGAGGAAGGATCTGCTAGCAAAGCTGCTTGTCCCTTTAGAAAGCTTGGCTGCTTCTGTACCTTTGAGAATGCACTAACTGTTTCCATTTGTACCCACAGAACACAACACAGAAATGAAGAGTGCCTGGCTTTATAGTGATGCAAAAACACTCATCCAAGCATGGATCCTCAAGGATCTACATGATTCTAACATGGGATCATCCCCAAGCCACTTTCCAATTTTTGGGCAGAGATGGTGCTTATGTTTGAAATTGTTTGACGAGATGATCTTACATACAAATCATGTGGATCCATGAGGATCTGGGAGATGATCTTACATAAAAAATCATGTGGATCCATGAAGATCTGTGCCTCTGATCCATTTTTTGTCTAAAGACAGCTCTTCTCTCCTCCAGCCTTGCACTAGGCTGGCCACATCTTCCCCTTCTTCTCAAAGTCTGTGCTTCTGTTTACATCATGGGGACATCCTGTCTGAAACTGTTTTTTTAAAAAAAGCAGAACGTGACACAGAAGTAAGTCAAGCCCTTTGGCTCTGTTGATGCTAGTTTCAACTCCTATTTAGTAATAACACTGGACTGCAGTACTCAGTATAATGGGTGTAAGGAAACTTGAACAAATGTTCAGTGTAGACAGACTAAGTGTGTTCACAGTGCTGGGTTAAACAATCCCTGAATAAGGCTTTACTTCACTTCAGAAAGAGGATCCTCTCAGACCTGGGTCTTGGATTAAAAGCATAGTCATCAGATCTCTATGGAAACAATCCTTCAGATGCCATGGTTCCAGACGACTGAGTACAGGAGGGGGCAACTGTGGATATCCATATATCTTTGGACAGCAGCTCACATAATGACAGCTGATGTGAGTTACTCTTTGGCATCAGCTCTTCCAAATGATGTACAATTTTAGAACAATGAAACAATACACTAAAGTACAATTGCAGTTATTTTACTTTTTAATTTAGTTGTTTTATTAGAGAGGGTTATTTTTATTTTGAATTATTAACAGTAAAATAATAGAACTTGCATACAAAAACATTGAGCCTGCAATGATTTTAATCCTTTCCAGCTAGAACTCCCTCACCTCCATATGTCCTTTGCTCCATTTTCATGATACCACGGCTCCAGGGTGCTTACATCATGTTAAGGCATATCCTTGTAAGGTTAAAATAGTCAAAATTCCATGATTCTTTTGTCTTTTGGATATTCATCCAGCAGAGGGCATTATTACCTCAAACTGATAGTTTTATCAAGAAACTGGCTAATCTGTAGCTCCATCATCATCATCTCAAAACTGCAGAGCTGGAAGGGACCCTATGGATGAAGTTCAGCCCCTATCAAGAAGGCACGGTCAGGAATCAAATGCCCCTCAAGCCACTGCTGTTGAATTGTGGCAGTGCGGATGGAACACATTTCCTTTCAATAAAACAATGCTGATGAGGATTGGGCAGTATCCCTCTGTACTTCCCATCAACAGAGTGATGCAAAATTGCAACAGTCACAGGAGAATTGACAATGGACAAGGAAAAGTGGATTTCTACATGAAAATCAGTGTTTGCAAAAGGGCAGCACTTGCTTAAGGTACATAAATCCGCATTCCTACACTGACAGGACTTTCTACTCACTGGAGGCTCAATGGGATGGGATCCTGACCATTGTTTTTGAGTTAAGTTGAACTCTTGAATCCCTGAGCAGGCTTTAAAACAAAATGTATGCTCCACACGTGCCTTATTTCAAAGCAAAAATGTGGCTTTTCCCTTGCCCCCTGCACCACCAACATTAGGCAGAGTTGATTATATGGGTTCAGTGAAGACCAATGTAGCCTCTGGATATCAGCATGGTTTGGAATGAATGGTTTTATTGCATGTCTGTAATAGATAACTTGATAGAGCAATGCACTGCAAGAAAATATCCAACCTCAGCATTTGTAGGCAGGTGAGGGGTACCTTGGGCACCTCCAGTGTGGATAAAAATAAATGAATTTTAAAATCAAATGGATTTAAATGATGATTTAAAAACAATGTTTTAACTTAAATTGTAAAAAAAAACCCAACATTTTTAAATGTAAAACTTGATTTAAATAAATTGTTTAAATAAATGATTTAAATTTAAGTCATGGTTTAAATCAATTCAGTTTAAATCTAATGCACTCTAGGCACCTCAGAATCCACACAC